AGAAGGCGGAGGCACATCAGGGCGCCTCCTCCTTCTCCCCCTCAAGGAGCACCAGCAGCGGCAGCGGCCCATGGCCTGGCTGCCCCACCCGCGGAAGCAGGATCAGCGGCGGTGGCGGGTGGCGGCTCGCATCCAGCAGCAGAAGCAGCGATAGAAGAAGGGGCTCCTGCAGCTGCGTTGGCCGATGCGCCAAGACCGGGTGGCTCGGAGGAGGAGGAAGACGGGGGCGAGAAATTCGAAACCGCAGCCGCCGGTGGGGGGGAAGACGTGCGAGATCGACCTGATGATGGCGCCGCGGCAGCCGCGACCACGCCCGCTGACGAGAACACTCCTGCTGCCGCTGCCGCTGCTGCTGCTGCTGCCTCTGCTGCTGCCACCGTGGCCGGTGGTGGTGGTAGCAATGTTGCCGGGGAGATCGGTTCTGTATCGTCCTCCGCAGCTGGTGGTGGCGGTACAGATGATGCCGGGGACAGCGACGCTGTGCCGCCCCCCGCGCAGGAGGTTGAGGGTCAGCAGGACGACCAGCTGCTGCCCCAGGAGCTGGACGTCGACTTCCCGTCGTTTGAGGCAGACCCGACGGACCTGGCCACCGGGTGAGGGTCTCTAACCTTCCAACAGTAGTAGCCTTCGAGGACATTTAGGCTTGGCTTTAGTAGGGGTTACTACGGGTTTGTGTTGGGGGTTGGGGTTCGGAAGAGGGTTTGGCGTTCGCGAGGATACGATAATAAGCGTGGTGTTTAGGAGGAGCTACGTGTTTGGGGGTAGGGTTGGGTTAGGGTTGCGAAACCCCCCTCTCTATTTCACTTGTAACTCTGAACGCTTAATATCCTCGCAAAGGCGGTCCGGGTCTTGCGGGTTCGCTGACGCCGTGTAGATATTGAGCTTGATTGATTCGTGTTTTGGATTAGGGCTTGGGGTTAGGGTTTCGAAACCCCCCCTCTCTCTTTCACATATGACGCTTAATATCCTCGCAAAGGCGGTCCGGGTGCTGAGAGGGTTGTTGATGCCACCGCTGCCCCAAGCACCCGTGTGGTGTGACGCCGTCGCATTTTGAATACACAAGGCAGGCAGTGAGAAGGCGTCAGAACGTAGACACCACGAACAACGTGTCCCCCTCCCCTGCCGTGCGAAACACCGCAGGAGAGACGAGTACTCGGTGACGATTTCGTCCCAGAAGCTGGGGATGACGGTGGAGAACGTGTTGGAGCGGACGGTGGTGAGGGCGGCGGCTCCCGGCGGCGGCGCTGAGGCGGCCGGCGTGGAGACCGGGTCCCTGCTCGTCGCCCTCGACGGCCAGTCGACCAAGGTGCGGTAGAAGTCGGTATTTTGTGCAGCGTCATCCTCGCTTTGAAGGACAGTTATGGGTTCGCGTTATTCATGGTTTCGCTTTAAGGACATTCATGGGTTAGCTGCACGGACTCTCATGTTCGGGCTTTAAGGATAATTACGGGTCCGCTTTAAGGACACTCACGGTCGTGGTTTAAGGGCACTTGTGGTTTCGCTTTTAAGAGCACTCATGGTTTCGCTCTAAGGGCACTCATGGTTCGCTCTTAGGGCACTCATGGTTGTGCTTTAGAGACGTGCACGGTTGCGGTTTCGCTCATGAGGGCACTTATGGTTTTCGCTCTAAGGACAATCGTCGTTTCGCTTATTTAGGACACTCGCAGTTTCGCCTAGAGAACAGTCGTGGTTTGTCTCCAAAGAAAGTGCCCTGAAATGCGGGGAAGTATCCATGGAATTTGTCTCCCCCCGTTTTTTCATTCTGCGGGGCGCCATGCTTCTGAATCAGAACGGCTTCCTTGAAGCGGCGTGTGTCGTTGGTGTCCTTAAAGATTGTGTTCGAAGCATTGCAGCGCGCGCGGAGAAATTCTCGCATGTTAGGACGCTGCGTAGCTGGTAGATATTGCAGGTCCCTAACGGTGGAGGCAGACGTATTGAATGGTGGGTACGTTGGGCGGAGCGACTGCTGTTGTAGAGAGCATGGCGGCGAACAATGGTTGGGTGTTTTGCGTCGTATCTTCAAAAAGACAGCCAAACACCACCACGTCCACAACGCCAACGCGCTTTTGGGATCACGCTATTGTACATACTGTATGCGCACCCTCGAATGTACACACGCGTAATTGTCTCCTCCTTCTATGTATGCGCGTTCAAAAACTTGTTAACACCAGAACTCGTCGCACTTTGAGGTGATCGAGCTCCTGCGGGTGGCCAACCGGCCTCTCACGCTGCGCCTCCGGCGAGTGGGAAGGGAGCGCCTGCTCCGCCGTCGTGCCGAGATGCGCGCCCTAACTCGCCCCCACGGCGTCTTCGGCGGTGCTCTCAACGGCCAGAAGGCGG